CAGGAGAAGCTGGAAAATAAAACCCTGGTTTTATAAAGCACTGGCCCTCGCTGCTGCGGGGTAGCCCCTGCTCTGGCCGCTCCGGGCCGAGGGGACGCGTTCGTCGGTTTGCCATACGTCTGAGCCGCCGCTTCGTACCCTCCGAAGAGCAACTTCTCCCACCCTGTCACATCGCTGGGTTGCTGTGCACGGCAGCATTGCGCCTCAGGGCTGAAACTGCTTGATACTAAAGTTTTTTTCGTTACCTTTGTCTTTTTCCTTCCCCGACAGGGCCCTAACCTGATTATTAATCAGCCCGACGAACTGCTGGATAGCATGTCCGAGTGGTGCAAGGAGCATCACGGCAAGGTAACCCTTCTAGAGCGGTCACGCGACCATTTCTCGTTGTTTGCAATGATGACCATGACGTATATAATTCAGAATTATCAGTTTTAGTAGAGTCACCTAAAAAGGGACAACTCCTGTGCCGGATGGTTTGCCGTCAAACAGAGGAGATAAAGAATGGGGAGGCAGTAAATGTCATCCTTATTTGGTACGGGGGAGATGATGCGTAACGTTTTGCCCAAGGTCTCGCAAGTCATCCGTGGCACAGCTGCGAATTGCATTCGTCTAGCTTTAGTCTTCATCCCGTATCTCAGCTGCAAGATCGCCCCAAAGTGGCCTGTGCTTTGTAGCCGGGTTTTTCATAAGTTTGAATAGTGTTGGAAGTGACCCTCTCTGACTTGAGAGCCAGAAGCAGCGGCAAAGACCAACAGCTAGTGAGCGGTCCCCTGAGGTGGCTGGAGCAACAGCTGACGGGAGAGGTGCAGGCAGGGCGAGACAAGCGGTGGTGGGCCCAGGAACGAGATCCGTTGCCCAGGTACGTGCCGCTGGTTCCCTTCTTCAAAGGTGGATGCTCAGCATCGTGCCTCTCAGCGCGAGGGTAAGAAGTTGAGTTCGGCTTCCCGCTCTGCTCGCTGAGCTGTTGGCCGTGACCTGCCTCTGCAGGAGCCCCAGCTGTAGGCTGGGTTGGGTGGACTCCTCTGATGGCTCCTCCCGGTGAAGCCTGTTCCGTGTTGTATAAAATAATTAAAAGAATAATTCTGCCAGAGAAGGGGAAGATGTGGCTTGAAGTCCCGAGTAAAACCAGGCACGAGGTCGGTGTGGAATAGTTCAGGGCCGACAAAATGCAAATATATCACTGCAAATTTTGGCACTTGTAGAATTAAACAGGCCGATTTACTGTCAACATTGGGTTGTTATTTTTGCCTGTCTCCTCAGTGCTGTAAGCCTGGTGTATTTTTTCACCAAAAGCTTAGCTTTTGCAGCAAGAGATTATTTTTCATTCTTTCATCCACCGAAGAAAGCTTCCTCTTTGCCAGTAGCAAGAAAGTGAATGGATTTTCCCATCCCTGATTATGAATTGAAATTCGAGTTAGTTTTCAATTAAGGGCTGAAGTTTTAAGACACCCATAAGCCCTCCTCTCCTCCCCCCTTCGGCATCTCGCTCTCCCCGGGAAGGATTAGCAAGAGTTTGGAAAATGAATATTAATTTACCGTGATGGGTGCTTTTCCCCTTCTCCAGCTGAAGACTCAAACTCAGCTTCAGTTCACGAGTGAATTGAAGATGGTAGCATGCGTTATCGCTGCTCCTGAGGAGCTACTTATTTTTAATTGACTAAGAAAAGAGAAGCAATTAGAATATAGATGAAAATGCACCCAACATAATGAATTTTTTAACCACCACTTGGATCTGTCAAGTAGATTTTTTGCAGCACAGTCGTGGAAATATATAGCGTAACCAGATGGAAATAAATCACTGAGAACACTCAGAGCAGATTTGACATTTAACTATTGGAAAAAAAAAAAAAAGGAAGGAACTGTTCTGATTTGTAGAAATCTTGATAAACACTTAAGCCAGGATCCTGATTATTTCCGTTTATTTATACCTGCTGCTCTGCGCTGGGGAGGCATATGCCTCTCCTCAAACAGAGGGAAGTGTAATCCTCTGCTGGATCGCGTACGTACGTACAGGTATATCAACGAGGCTTGCGTAATGTCTTGGTAATTGAGAAGAAGCCCTAGAAAGTACATCAACGGGGAAAGAAAAAAAGAAAAAAGCCCAAACCAAACAAACCACAGGAACAGTGGCAGTGTATTTCCAATGTATGACGGATGGCTTTTTTTTTTTTTGCAGTCTGGCCTTACTAAGGCCGTGAAGGAGAGTAAAATTTCATTGCAGCAAGCAGAGTATGAGTTTCTGTCCTTTGTGCGACAACAGACGCCCCCGGGTCTCTGTCCTCTCGCAGGTAAAGTACGTTCTCTTTCTTAATAACAACAGCGTCATCCCTCCTGGCCGGGTGCCGAAAGACCCGCCGATGCACATGGCGGGGATGCTTTTGTTTTCCCTGCTGAGATCTAGCACACAAATCAAAACCTTATGTTCAGCAAGGCGAGGTTTAGTAATGGCAGCATCCGTTCTGCAGATTCCCTAAGGCAAATATTGCACGTCATTCCTGCGGGAAACTTCAGTTCTTTTTTGCATTAACGTTTCTGTGTACCGTTACAATTGGGGCGGGCAACTGAACTGCTGATGGCGACCTGCGGCCGTAAAAATCCGAGCAGCCAGCCCAGCGGCATCTTTCCCTCACTGGGTGTCCAACCGAACGCCAAATACGAATCTTCCAAACGTCCTGCTACCTGCAGCTACGCTCAGGATGTTCACATACAGTCTCGGGACTGGCGCTAAGTGAAATTAATACCGGTGCCTGTTTTCACTTGGCAGAAAACCCGACGCTTGCCTAATACTTCAATGTTTGCCTGTGCGACAGAAGTTGTAGGAGTGGGAACTGAAGAATTAGTAGAGTAAAACGTATTTAATGAGTTTTCATGAAAACCTGACAAACCTCTACAATTGTATTTACTAGAAAATGGGACAAACGAGCTGCTTGTGAATAGCTTTTCGTACCCTGTGATCTTTCCCCAGCTCGCTTAGCCTGCTGCTCCTTCAGATGTCATTCCTCGTAGCTTTGTAACGTCTTTGAAGAAACATCTTGTTTTGTGTCTTTGTAGGTAACTCCGTTCATGCAGATAAGAAATTTCTTGACAAATACATGCCTCAGTTCATGAGGCACCTTCATTACAGGATCATTGATGTGAGCACTGTGAAAGAACTTTGCAGGTAAATGCTCCCCAAAGTAAGTAGCCATACGAAAGACGATCTGGAGAAGCCTGTTTAAGCGGCGCTGACGCGCACTCTTCTAAAACAAGGTTAAAAGCTGCTGGGAGAGGGCTGCCTGCAGCCCCCTCCTCCTTTCTCATG